ACATTAAATATTTGTATGAAATTACTTTAGTGCCTCTATATAATTTATAAAGTTATAATTTTTTAAATTATTTTAGTCATTAACAAAATTAAACTTGTAAATACTTATATCAAACTTATAAGGGATATAACATTAATTAGACTTTTTTAATGTAAAGTTGTGATTCCTTTTACTCATTAATAGAACCAAAATTACAAATATTTATAGCAAACTTTTGAATAGTGTAAAATTAGTTGCAAAAGGTATTAAAGTAATTTTATATAAAAAATTTAACATTAAAGAAATCTCTTAAAATCTCACTATTATTATTACCTTTTAGAGGATCAAATTATCATTTTCTATTTTAGAGGTATTTATTTGTCCTTCCCCCTTAAATTACATTGACTAATGCTTTATAATCCATCATAGTGTCCCCCCCCCCCCAAAAAAAAAAAACCACCATGGAGAATAGTATTTCCATCAAAACGAACAAGAAAGGAGACACAAAGCCCAAAAACAAAGGCCCACATGGTACAGCGGAAATAAGCCACAAAAAAAAAAAAAAAACGCGCCTGAAAACCATTGGTTTGTTGGGATAGAAACACGTGCATGACCTAAAATTAAACAAAAATAGTTCATGATGGTCAATATGCATGACCCTTGGTCTTTGATTCAAAACATCTCAATAATCCAACCGAATCAATCAAAGACAGGCATAACATGGTACAATGGGATGATCAAATTCCAAATCAACCAGCAAACATTACAATGAGATTTTAATGCAAGCTTTTAGAGATTTCTCATATGTAATTAGGTTAAAGGCACCTTGTCTAGAGGGAATTGGTCTAAAGGAAACTGTCATAGTCATGTTGAAAAGATAACGGCTAGAGTAAGTAGTTAGTTGACAAAGCATTTGTCATATGCAAGCAGATCTCAATTGATTAACTCTCTTATCTTCATTTTCTATATCTATTGGATTTGGTCTTCAATTTCTATTTTGCCACAATCCATAGCCAAAAAAGTGGAAAGGGTTTGTAAAGAACTTTTTTCGGGATAGAAAAAGTTATTGATCTTAGATTGGCTCTGGTGAGTTGGGAGGAAATATGCTATGGAAAAAAAAAAATCAAATATGCTGGACAATGGCTACTAATTAAGACAAATACAATGTGAGTAAAGTGGATAGATGAAGTCTACTTCAAAAAAAAAATACGAATCGTTGGACTTATCAAATAAAGCACATCACAAGTCAGGGCATTGGGAAAAAAAGTGAAATTAAGGCATGAAATGGCAAATGACTTTCAAGGAGGAAAATGGACTCAAGAGTAATTCAATGGGCAGATAATTGTATGGGGAAGTTTAATGTTCCAAAATACCTTTCCATTGCATGACTAGCATTAGAAAGCAGACTCGTTACAAAGAGCACATCGCAAGAATTTCAGTTACCCACCCATGATTTAGTGCATTTATCCCATTCGCTTGCAAAAATCAATTACAGGTGGCAGGCAACAAATGCAATTTCTGTGAGACAAAGGAGGAAAAAGGAAAACACTTACTCTCTATGTTAAAAAATATAAAACATTTTTAATTAAATCTTATTCTCAATAAAAAATAGTTATCTATTTTTAAACTAACCTTATCTTTTCGTATTTACCCTTATTAAATACCTTATAATAAATATAAAATTATTATTAATAGGAGCACTTTTTAAAAAAAGACAATGATTGCACCTCGAAAGACTAAAAATGCTTTATATTTTTAAACATTCAACTTTTTAAAAATATCTTACATTTTTAAACGAAAAAAAGTATTTTCAATTGTTGCTAGTAGGTTTGATTAATGGTGGCAGTGTACCTAATGATTCCAACAGGTGCACCAGATTCTGTATTTATGCTTCCAGGGTATAGCAAAATTGAAAGATATGTACTTTGGTGGTATATATGTTAATATATTGTGAACCATGTTTGTATTGAAAGAAACCGAAGGACATTTAGCGAATAGAAGAATGAAATTCACATGATCTTTGAATAGGTAAAGGGAGAGATAGCTATAAGAACGGAATTCACATGATCTATTAGAATGAGGATTATTTAATATTTATTGTTTTGGTGTTAGCGTTTTCTTTCTTTTCATCATGTACATATGAAGTTGTCTCTTTTGTTCATCTAAATGTTTTGATTCTTTTTTATCGACAACGGGGCAAAAGCCTATCTCTTATTTATTGTAAGAAACTAAACAAGGATCATTCAGACCCTTTACATCTCGAAGCAACAACCGGTTGAGGTCTTTAGGAGGAGCCTCGATAATACTACAACCAAAGTTTTGACTTCGACTGAATTTTGCAATCTAGTCAGCACACATGTTATTGTCTCTGTAGATATGTCTTACCACAATTTGTCAATCCTCATTAATTAAATTGAGGGCGCGCCGAATCTACCACTGTTTAGCTGTGAGGCAGCCGAAAGCAATTTGGAACTCTTGAACCATGGCAGATGAGTCACTTTCAATCATCAGCTTGCAGAGGTTAAGAACACGTGCCACTCGTAGCCCATAAAACAAATCCCAAAACTCAGCTTCTTTAGCTGTACAAATACCAAGGTTGCACATAAATCCACTCACCCATTCACCATTAGAATTACGAAAAATCCCACCACACGCTGCGGGCCCAAGATTTCCTTGTGTTGAGCCGTCGACATTAAGTTTAATCTAACCTTGCGAGGGAGGTTCCCATCCACCTTGATTCTGTCTCTAGTTAAAGGATTTCCTCAAATCGTTTTGCATGCTAGTAAACATCAGACTCGTAAAGCTATAGATCTTGTTCTTAAGTCTCCCAACATTAGTACTATCGCCATTAAAGTACGGTCGTTTCTTGATTTCCACAACAACCAAATTGTGATCCCAAAAATGATGCTCCAAGGGATGCCATAATATTGATCTTTCTTCTTGAGATTCCATTGAAACCAATCAGCCTTATTTAGACAAAAAAAAAATGGTTCGCATTTGTGAAGGAAATCCAATCCAAACATCTTCAGCCATAGTATAATCTCTAAGCACATGCAACACATCTTCGATCTTATTGTGACATAAGTTGCAGCAATTGGGTGAGTGAAATATCATATTTCTTCTTTAGCCAGTCATAATTCTTTCATGTATGGCCAGCAATATGAAGATTTGGAACTTTTCTAGGACCATTCCACTACGAAATAAGATTCCAAACTAGATTAGATATGCCACTTGGTTCTGAGCAAAGAGCTTTATACATGAAATAGACAGAAAAATCTCTATTAGCCTTAAGACCCCAACCAATCCTATCCCTTCCATTAATTGGCCTTGGGATGTGATGGCCTACCAACAATTTGATGTCTTTTTCCCCTAGAAAACTAGTCATGAATGAAAGATTCCACTCATCCTTGCCATTCACAGTGTTAGCCATTGTCATATTGAGAAGCTCAATCAGGGGTAACTGTTCACATCTATCAATCAAGGCCCCACTATTAATTAACCACTTATCTTTCCAGAACAGGATATCCATGCCATCTCTGATATCTTTCTCCAGGAAATCAACTACTTTAGGCCATAACTCAACTAAATTGTGCCAAAAAGTTGAATCATAGTTTTGAGCAATAGCCCCCTTTGTAAGGTTTTCTTTCCTCATGTATTTACCCTTTTAAAATGGAAGTGCACAAGCTATCTGGTTTAGCTATAATATTCCACACAGATTTACATACAAGGGCTTCATTCATGGTTCCCAAACTGCGTAACCCATATCCCCCTTGCTTTTTTGGTAAGCAAAGAGTGTTCCAGCTTTAAGCATGAACTATTCTCTCTTGAGTCAAATTCCAAATGAAATTTTGTTATGCCTTTTCAATTTCTTTGCAAACATTAGTTGGCACCTTGCCGTGCATTATGTGATAATTAGGAATTTGGATTGTTACAGATTGGACTAAAGTAAGGCAACTTGTTAAGGAGAGAGCCTGTGCCTTCCATCCACTTAATCTTCGTTGTACCTTTTCAATCAAAAAGTTGAATTGCTGCTCCTTATTACGCCCTCTAGTATCCATTGAGCCAAGTATTTCCCCAAAGCCTCACTTCTTGCAAAACCACTTTGCATAACAATTTTGCCTTGCACATTGTAAAGCACATTACTAGAAACCTTATTAGAAGGTGATATTCCCAAAATATCTTTTTAGATGATTTCTGTATTTTATATTTATTCTCAATAAATGAAATTTAGATTTTATCAAATTTCAAAAAACAGTTTTCTTCTTCTCATTGAAAATCGAGAAGATTGAGTGGAGTATATTTGAAATAAAGTAATTAACACTACACAAACTCTTATACAATGATTTATATCAAGACAAAAAATAAAAAATAAAATAGAAAACATTCTATTTTAGAGAGGAACGGGAGAAGTAGGCACTCTGCTCATACTCCTCACTCGCAAATGAAGATGAAAAATGGCATATAATAAAGGCATTTGAGTAAATATATTTTAAAATCAATTTTTATGGATCACATTAAAACTTAATTAAAATACAAGATCTAAACCAGCTAAATTAATCAAAATTTTCGGTAATTTCATTACTTATTATTTTTATTAAATTAAATGATAACAATTACCGTGATGATGAGACAAAAATTTTAGATGATAAATTATTTAATATTAAATACTTTCTTTTTTTTTTTCTTTTTTTGAAGTCAAGAGTTTAGTGATTTGGCTTGTGAGTTATGAATTAAATACTTGTGAATTGAATCAATCTCAAGTCTTTATTATAAGGTATTTTTAAGCATCTAGTAAGTAAATGTAATTAAATTATTAATTTTATCTAAAACACAAACTTTTAATTTTATCCATATTTAAATAATAAAAAATATTAAATTTACATTATGTTCTTTCTTGTTAATAAACTTAAATAAAAATAATATTAAAGAAATGTAATTAATACTCTCCCTATTACTTCACACCAAGGGCGTGGACGAATAATAAAAGGTGCTGTGACAATATCATCAATAATATCAATATCCGTTACTATCTGAAAACCCATAAATTGGTAATTGATCAACCGAGAAGGCGTCCCATGCCCTAACACTTCACCTAGCTTCGGTGGTGCTTGCTTGACGGTGCTCTGTGGCCGGAAACCTCACCATTCTAACCTCCGATTCGTACGTAAGGAAGAAGAAAAGAGAATTTCTGGTCAGTTCTTTGAATCTTCATCTTCGGCGACCATGAAGTTTCGGTATGCAATGGTGTGCTCTTCGAACCAGAACCGAAGCATGGAAGCTCACTCCATCCTCAAACGACAGGGCTTTGATGTGTGTTCTTATGGAACTGGTGCCCACGTTAAGCTCCCTGGGCCCTCCCTCAGAGAACCCAATGTCTACGATTTTGGAACTCCCTACAAACAGATGTTCGACGATCTTCGCAGAAAAGACCAAGAACTGTATCCTTCTTCTTTTCCAACTATTTTCATACTCGTTTTTGTTTCTCTTTTCATTTATTTTCTCCTCTTTGTTTGTCAAAACTTGTGGGTTAATTATAATACGCAGTAATTGATGCGTTTGAATTTTCAGAAAATTGAATTCACTTCTGTGATTTGTGGTTTTTCTTGGAAAATGAATTCTCTGTCTTTCTTCTAATTCCATTCATAAATTGTTTAGTGTTGATACGGGTTGATTTATTGAGCAGCTATAAAGCAAGAAAGTTTCTCCCTTTTTTAGCTCTAGCTATTCTGCATTGGTTAGACTATATAGGGATAATTTTGGTGGATTAAGAGCTTTTATGCATTTGTTAGTAAACTTTGCAATGGATACATGGTTTTCTTACACGTTATGTCTTAAACAGTCTAAAATGTGGAAAGTGAGATGCAGAATTAACACATACATTATTGTTCATTATTCCTGCCTTAGCATCCACTGCACTTCAATCCTTGTTCATTGTACTATTAAGCTTGAACCTTAATGAGAGTGCAGCTACAAGCGAAATGGGATTTTGCCAATGCTTAAAAGGAATTCAGCAGTAAAATTGGCACCTCAACGATGGCAAGACAATGCTGCTGACGGATCCTTTGACATCGTTTTTACATTTGAAGAAAAAGTTTTTGACATGGTTGTTGAAGGTTCATAATTTTGCCAAGTTTCATTCCTTTTGCTCTAGTTCGATTCTAAAGATAACATATATGTGGTTGCTCCCCTGGGAACAATAAAGGGTTATCCCTGGATTAAATCTTGCATCGGCTTAAATCATAATGAAGTTAAAAATTGGTTTTAGGCGGACTTGATTTTACAGGAGATGACAAACTTTCTAGATGTCTGTTATTTTCATTTCGAAAAGCACTCAATTAGCAAAACCTTTTAGAGCAGGAGGAAGAATGATTTGAGGTGTCATGTATAGGCAGTGTCTTGCTTTTTGTGTTGGCCATTCTACCGTCTGCAATCTCTTACAGAGTATGACAACATAGTCATAAAACATATTTGTCACTACAACCTGAAAGATGACTCCATGGATAATTGACAGCTGTATAAAAAAAACTATAATTTTTTTGTTTTATCAATTTCAAATAGATTCAGAGGTTATAGAATATTGATAATAATTCTTATTCTGGAAATAATGTTGTTGTACAAAATTTGAAATCATCCTTTGCGTATTACTAGTTATATAAGTGCATCGTTGTGTATAATCATCTTCTATATTAAATATCCTCTCGATAATGCATGGCACGAGAAGTTTATTTCGTTTTTGCTTATTCTGTTTAACATCTCTCTTTACTTTTATTAGGGAAGATAAATGATAATTCTCATATTCCTTTCATTATAATACAAATCGATCATTATGGCCCCTCTAGATTTTTTTCCTCATCTCTGTCAAGTTTCTGTCATAAAAAGATTTTTGGGAGAGATATTTTTTGGGCTTTGGATATTAAACTAATCGAGAGAACAGTGATGATGTTTGCTTGGAACCAAGAGTTTGCAAGTTGATTGCATATATACTTTATATACTTTCTTTTTCACCGTTTCTTTATTCTCATTGAAAGCAGAACTGCAATGCATCAAAGTGGGATTCTGTGTTTAATGTTTTCTTACTGCAATAGTTGTGAGAGTAGTATTATTCCATTGTCATAGGTTCCCGGTTACCTGTGGTGTGCATATTTAATGTAACTCTTTAGTCTAGTTGTTTTTAATTTTTCCTGTTTTGGTCTTGGAGCTTCACTGAGCTATTAAGTTATTAACAAAAACTTGATCTGGAATGTACTTTCCTTGATAATAATTGTTGGTGGTAAATCATTTTATAATCCTAACTCTACACAAATGCTGAGCTTTTAGGGAAACATTGTTTGTTATTGCAACTGGGTTTGTTATCTATCACTAGGAAACTTCCTTAGAGACATGTGGATTGAAGACCATGTCAAGTCTGAATGTCCTAATTCTTATGGTCTTGGGCGTATATTTGAGTTTGACTGTTTCTGTAAAAATGTGCAGATCTCCACAACAGAGATCATGTTCTAATGAAAACTGTGTTGATTATAAACTTGGAGGTGAAAGATAACCATGAGGAGGCTGCCATTGGAGCCAGGCTTACTTTAGACCTTTGCCAGGATGTCTGTTTCATTCATGCTACTATGTCTTCTCATTGTACTTGTAGCTTCTCTGCACTATTAGCTGACTTCCTCTGATATATTTCTGTGCACAGATTGAAGCAGCTGAATCATGGGAGGAGTCCATTGATGACATCGTTGCCGCTTTTGAGAAACAACACCGGCGAAAGCTGTTGTACAGCGTCTCCTTCTACTAAAGAAAGAGCCAAAGCAGGTCATCTCATTCTCATCATTGCCCTTCTAAAATTTTGCCCTGTTGGAGTTCCCTAGTGCCAATTCATTCTCACTGATCATGCCGTGAACGTGAAGAAGAGAACTAAAAGTTGTACACATTATTTAAATTTGACTTGTAGATTCATTTGGAAAGAAGACTAATGAGTACTGTGTAATTATATGCATTAAAATTTAAAAAAAAGGTTACGTTGCCTACTTGTTCTGACCCCGTCATTTAGTTTGTTTCAGGGAGGAGTGCGAATACTCCCATTGGCCGACAGGTATTTAGGAACTTGTAGTCAAGGAGTCGGTTGGTGGTGTTTGAATTTTGCTGACAGCATGTTGTGGTTGATTTTGATAACTTTTGTATTTTCAGTAGCTGGTTAATTAGGATGTAAACAGAACGGGGTGCAAAATGTAATCTTGTAAATGAGAACTATTTTTTTATCTTTAAATTAACAAATCTAGTTGGGAGCGTTACTCTTATTTCGACAATTATTAGATGCCAAATAGCATAAAAAATTAATGATAAAAAGATATTATTGAGTAATAATAAAAGGGGTATAATCTCTACCGAAAGTATAAGGTATAATATATTGGGAGAATGACAATAATGTTCCAAGATAGACAATTTATCACAGTTAACTTTCTGATTGAAATTTTTAAAAAATAAATTGTAAATATTAATTTAAACATTTATTAACAAGAATTTCAACTGTAACTTAAGAGTTATATTGAGAATTTAAATATTTTATTTATAATTAAAATTCTTGAATTTATAAATTTTTAAATCAATATTTAATTTTATGGGGACAATTAACTATGATAAATTCATTGTTAGTCCTTAGTATATATGCATGCATGTGTATATATATATATGTGCACGTAATATATTGTGGCATTTTCTTTTGAAGCTACTTTACATGGAAAAAAAACATTTTTAAAAAAAGAAATGAAAAATATGCTTAAAAAGAAAATGTGATAGCTGTTTTTTTATTTTTTTTGAAAAAATATAACTTTAAGTCTTTATACTTTGTTTGCATTTTGCTATTAATTTTTATATTTTTTTTGATATTTTTGATTCCTATATTTTTATTTTTTATTGTTTTAGATCTCTTCATGAGTAAAGTTGTAAACATTGATTTAAATAGTTGTAAACAAGAATTTCAATTATAAATTAAGAGTTTTATTTAAAATTTAAATATTTTATTTGTAATTAAAATTCTTGAACTTGCAATTTTTTTAATCAATATCGGGCTTAATTATCATAAATTCACTGTTAATGTCATTCTCCCTAACATATATCTATATATTTATATATGGATGCATGTATATGTGTGTAATATATGGTGGCATTTTCTTTTGAAGTTATTTTACATAAGCATGTTTGATACATAGGAAAATATTTTTTTTAAAAAAAATGAAAAATACACCTAAAAAGAAAACGCGATAGGTATTTTGTTGTTGTTGTTACTGCAGAGTATGTTTAATGAAAGGCATTAAATTGAAGAGAGCAATCCAACACATGTTATAGGTTAAGAAATGGCCTACGCTATTTAATTCGAATTGAAAATTGTTTTTTATTTTTTATTTTTTATTTTTTTGCCAGCGTAATAGTTTAGGAGAGCTAATCCATCTAACTTGCGGTTTAATTCATTTGTTTTTTTCCTGGGGTCAAATCTTATAACCGCTAGATTTAATAAAATTGACCAACTCAACCAATTTTGAGTTGTGACTTGGATAATTATAAGCCAATGGAACCCACGGTGGTTTGTTATCATGGATAATCTATGGCCCTTACGTGGCTTCATCTCCAACAATCCTGGTTAGTGTTACACAATGAAAAGTCTTATATATATATATATATATATATATATATATATATATATATGTATATATAATATGAGCAGTAGGTTTCGTCAACAGAAGGCACCAGGTAGACCTTTACTAACTGAAATGTTACACAATGAAATACTTCCTCTATTTTTGATACGCAATACTTCCTCTTTATTAGTAAGGATTTATTAATTACATAAATTAAGAAAACCAGTTAAAATTACTTGATGATATTAAGATTTCAAATTTATTTTTAGAAGTTTATCCATAAGAGGAGGCTCTTTAGTTATTTAGAAGATACTAAAGAAAAAAACATTTATAACATGTTTAGTATACATAAAAATATTTCTTACATAAGAAATGGGGAATTTATCAAGAAAGAAAATGAGATACGTACATTTCCCATTTTTTATTTATAGAAAACGCTTTTATGCTTACCAAACATTGCATAAGAAAAAATAATGCTTTAAACAAAAAGTTTTATGTTAAAACAAGGGGCAGCTCCTTGGTAAAATTACAATTTTTTTAAATTTTTTTAAAAAGTGAACATTTTACAACTTTTTCTAAAAAAAAATCATAATGAAAATATGAATATTGCACTAACAAATCTAGTTCTTGAACAAAGTTAGATTTGAAGACTGGGGGCAACCCAACGTTGACTCAGATTTAGAAGCCCAAATATAAAGACAAATCTGCAAGCATATGCTAGGATCAAATTGCTAAATTAATTAATTAATTAATGGTCTCCCAAAATATGGTTATCCATTTATTACTATTTTTTATTAGCAGCTTATAAATCAGTGTCAACAATAAATTTATTCATGTCACCACATTCACCATCCTGCTGCCCACGCAAAGAAGTCAAAAATTGGCTTCGTCTCCTCAATTTTATAATAGATTATCGCTCTCCCTTTGGTTTGTTTTTGTCTAAACGTAACTTTGATTTTTATCCAATATTTTAAAAATTAAACATTTATCCATCCCTTTTTTAAAAAATAAACTGAATCTCCCAGAGCAATTTCTCATTCACTTGTGATTTAGGTGAAATTGGGTCAGTTTGGCCAAATTGAATCCGTGGAATTTTTTTTTAAACACACACACACGTTTTTATAGTTTTTCTTAATTTTAAATTAGATCCCTCTAATTTATTTTACTTTAAATAAACCCATATAATTTGTTATATCAGATATGTTAAATTCTAAACTTTTAAAATTATTAATGCATGATTAAATTTATCAAAACAAAAACATTTTTACATTTTATAGAAAATTTGATTTAATGTAATATTATAAAAAAAATTAAGACAACCTTTGTTGGGTATTTTTAAAAGTTTATATTTTTTGTTTTGGAAAGATAAAATTGTTAGGTGTATTTAATAAAGTTTATTGATATGTAAAATTTTATTTAAAAATATCTTATAATTTGAGATGAAGGCAATAATATAAATTTTGAGTTATAACCAATAAAGATTGGTTTAGTTGATAATAATTATGCCTATAACCTACAAAGTCATGGGTGCAAATCCTATTGTCGAAGACTTTATTAGTGAATAATTTATAAGTATTTTTGTAAATACTATTTGGACCCAGAAGCATGTCCTAACTTGGTGAGCTCCAACTCACATAAACTTTCAATAACAAAAAAAATAAATAAATATTAAGTTACAAAATTTAAGTAATTAATTCTAAAGTTATGTAATATGTTATTAAAAATATAAAAGTCCTCAATTTTTTTAAAATGAAAAATTGAAAGATTTTAACTGAATTAACAAATATAATAGATCAAATTATAAAGGCTTAATTAAAATAAAATAAATATAAAAATTTAATTTAAAATTGAGAGAAACTACATGAGCTTACATACGCGTATGTGTGATTTGGCAGGATTTGAAAGTGTCAATTGTCAAATATCCATACCAGATTGCAAGATACACAACGCGTGATTATTATTTTTTTCACCTTTTGCTTTGGAAATTTCATGTGGCATTATCAGTTATTTCTTGGGAAACTTTTTCAAATGGAAAGGGTCAATGTTTGCTTTGTCAGAATAACAAAAAACAAAGGTTGGCCCAAAAATAGAAGCATAAAAACGAGGAGACTTGAACATGATTCTTTGGAAAGTCTCTATTTAAGGTTGTCATGAAGACTAATGAACTCAGAGAAATATAATATATCAAGAGATCATACCTTTTTATTATTAAAAATTTGATGCCATAAAAAGACTTCTATCAACTTGTTCCTAATCTTTCCGCCAAAAAAATAACTTGATAATACCGCTTAATTAATAACAAAATATTTTCTCCTTTTTTTTTGGGGGGGGAAATGTAAGCTCTTGTCTTTTCTTCAGATATTAACGTAGTTCATATGGAGAATAATAGCTAGGTTCTAAAATTTTAATTTAGTTACAGGTAAATTTAAAATTTTTTACTAAAATATGATTATAAATATAGATTCAGATAATTCAATTGCAAATATGAAAATGCCCTATACAATGAAAATTGCAAATGTAGAGTAAGCTTTATTAATAAACAGAAATTATTTCTTTCGCGATATTGAGAAACCCAATTACATTGTTACATATACAAGAGCTCACAAACCCCCAACCAATGACCTATACAATTTAAATGTCTTATTTATAATTGAGATTTCTATATTTATGACTGTTTAATTTTTTATTTTCAGCTTATCTTTTAGCAAATATTTTTGTGACCTAATTATTATTAAATTAATTATTTTTAGGACCTACGTTTAATCATTTTATCTTAGGTGGTGAAAAAAATTCATTATGTTTTTATTGATAATTAGATTGATGTGTGTGTATATTGATCATTGTCATAACTTAAATTATATATGTTTTTATACATAGCATGAATGATGAATGTGAATGCAAATGATGCTGTCCATAATTTATAAATAGTTTAATTTGTAATAAACTTATATTATATACTCTATCTGTTAAAAAATGTAAGGTATTTTGACAAAATCTCACATCTAATAAAGTAATTATCTACTTTTAAATTAACCCTATTTTTTAATATTTATTTTTATTAAATATCCTATAATAAATATAAAATTATTCATCAATAGGGATATTTTTAAAAAAAGACACTTGAAAGATTAAAAATACCTTATATTTTTTAACATTCAACTCTTTAAAAAATACTTTATATTTTTAAATAAAGAAAATATGTGTTTTATAATAATGGTTTATTTTGAAATTATATCAATATCATGAAATATAAAATCTTATAGAATCCTCTTATTTGCAAATTATGAATGTAATGGTCTTTCTCTCTGTTTTTTTTTTTTTTTGCCCGACATAATGGTCTTTCTCTCTCACACACACACAGCTTTTGCCTTTTTTCTTTCTAGTTTATTTGTATTAGATTTTCTTTAACCTGATCTCTATCTTTATTTAGTATTTTTATATTTTAATATAATTTAAATTTTAAATATTTGAAAATGATTATAATTGTTGACAAAATTTTAAGCTGAAAAATAGTAAAATATGTGGTGTGTACTAACTAAAATATTAGGGTATATATTTATTAGGTGGGTATTCTTTGAACCTGATGCATGTCAGGACCAAATTCACCTAATTTTTTTGTTGATAAAAAAAAAAAAAACGATGA